AAAAAAAAAAAAAACCACCCCACAATATTTGCTGTTTTTTGTTTGTTTACTTGCTTTTTTTTGGTAGTTCTTTAAAGTTTTTTCCCAGATTTACTGAAATATAATTGACATACAATTGACATACAACATAAGCTGTACAATGTGATGATTTGATTCATCTATGTATTGCAAAATGATTATTACCACAGCGTTAGCTAACACCTCCATCACATCACATAATTATCATTCTTTGTTGGTGGTGCGATCACTTATGATCTACCCTCTTAACAATTTCAAATATACAATACAGTATCGTTGACTAAAATCACCATGTTGTACATAAGATTCTCAGCACTTATCCAACTTATATAGTAGCCCCCCTTGTCCATGGGGAATATATTCAGGCATCTCCAGTAGATGCCTGAAACCATGATAGTACTGAGCCCTATGTATACTATGTTTTTTCCTATGCATACATACCCAAATTAAGTTTAATTTATAAATTAGGCACAGTAAGATGTATAGATGTAAATATGTGCACACGTGTACCCACACATTTTTTATTATATGTATATATATATATATACACACACACACACACACATATATATGTATATATATATATATATATATGATTTTTTGATGAATCATTTGAAAGTTATAGATACCATAATACTTCACCCTAACTACCTCAGCCTGTATCTCATCAGAACCAGGACTTCCTCCTATACATCCACAGTCCTATTATCAAGCCCCCCAAATTTAATATTAACGCAAAAATGTAAACTAATATGACATCTATATTAGTGCCCTATTACTGTTGTAACAAATTACCAGAAGCACAGTGGCTTAAAACAACACATTTGTTACCTTACAATTCTGGAGGTCAGAAGTCTGGCATGGATCTTGCTGGGCTAAAATAAAGATATTGGCAGGGCCACATTCCTTTCTCTGGGTTCTAGGGGTGGATCAGTTTTCTTGCCTTTACCACTTTCTGGAGTCTGCTGATCACTGCTTCACTTGTGGCCTCCTTCCATCTTCAAAGTCCAGAACAACTGACCAAGTTTTTCTCACATCAGCTCACTCTGACATTGATCCTTCTGTCTTCTTCTTTCACATTTAAGGACTCATGACGATGTTAGGCCCATCCCAGATAATCGAGGATAGTGTCCATTTTTTTTTTAGGGCAGCAGATTAACAACCTTAATTCCATTGGTTACATTAATTCCCCTTTGCCATGTAATGTAGTATATTTACAGGTTCCAGGAATAAGGATTTGGATATCTTTGGGAGGACATTATTCTGCTCACCATAGTCTGCCCATTGAATCCCAGAGATGGATGTAGAGACAGGAAGTAGATTAGTGGTTGCCTAAGACTGTGGGCATCTGGGGAAAGAGGGCATGACTGCTAATGGCTGTAAGTATAAAAATAGTTCACAATTGATTCTACTGATAGTTGAACAATTCTGTGAATTATATACTAGAAATCATTGAATTGTATACTTAAAATTTTTTTTTAATTTTTTAACGTTTATTTATTTTTGAGACAGAGAGAGACAGAGCATGAACGGGGGAGGGTCAGAGAAAGAGGGAGACACAGAATCTGAAACAGGCTCCAGGCTCTGAGCTGTCAACACAGAGCCCGACGCAGGGCTCGAACTCACGGACTGCGAGATCATGACCCGAGCTGAAGTCGGACGCTTAACCGACTGAGTGACCCAGGAGCCTCTATTATCACTTTTTTAAATGTTTGTATTATTTTTGAGAGAGAGAGAGAGATAAGGAGAGAGCACGGGGTAGGGGGAGAGAAAGGGGGAGACAGAGGATCTGAAGTGGGCTCCGTACTGACAGCAGAGAGCCCACGTGAGCTTGGGCTCACAAACCCTGAGATCATGATCTGAGCCTAGGTCAATCAACAGACCCCTCATTACACCTTTCATACAGAGAATAGACATGGGCAGCTTCTTCAGCCCCAGGCTGAGACACTGTCCAAGGTTCTGATGTCCCCCAACTATGCCCAGGGCTTAGTTAGAGAGAGAGAGGGAGAGAGGCAGGGAAAGACAGACACAGAATCCAAAGCAGGCTCCAGGCTCCCTAGCTGTCAGCACAGAGTCTGACACAGGGCTGAAATTTGTGATATCATGACCTGAGTTGAAGTTGGACACATAACTAACTGAGCCACCGAGGCATGAGAGAGGGAGTGACAGAAGGAGGCAGGAGAGGCAGAACCAGAGAAGAGGTGATGTGGAAACAGGACACAGAGAGACTTCAAGATGTTGCACTGCTGGTTTTGAAGGTGAAGGAAGGGGCCACATCCATGGAACGTGGGCAGCCTCCAACGGCACAGCT